TTCCACCCTCAAGCGTCAGGTCGGTCCCCCGCGGTACAGAGCTCTGCATTTTTATCCGAGGGAACCTATGTGACCATCCACAGGAGCAATGATACCAGCCGCCAACCCAAACCACCCTCATGCGTTGGACAGATCCCTTCCGGTACAGATCTCTGCATTTTTATCCGGGGGAACCGTGAATAGTCTGCGACATGAGCAGCGGGTAGGTGGCGGACATGTAACACCCCCGATTTTCACAACTTTTTAAAACTTAAATTCATAAGGCAAGGTAACTAACATGTATCATAAAACGTAAACCACAGCGGAAGTCTTAAATTAAAAACGGGAAAAGCGGGAAGTGCTATGCCACATCCACCTCAAGTGGATGCACAAGCTAGTATAACAAACGTACTATCCATATTCAAACAACCCAAGGCACACAAGCCCAAAACACTATCTACACAGTCCAAGGGAGCTACATTACAACCAACAGCTAGCGCACTCGCCATAAGCTACTCAAGACCTGTAAAGCAACATAAAGAAAGGGGACGACGCCCGATCAGCGAATATTGCTGGTAACCCATCAATACGCGTTAAGTAGCATATATAGATAGTATAAAACAAAACCATTTTCGAAACGAAATACAGTATATATCAGTTCAAAAGCCGTAGAGAGAAGTCGACTGTAAAGACTTTATTCCACTCTCAAAGAAACAAGGGAAATCAACATCCCAAAACAACATCAAGACAAGAACAACAACAATAATCAAATGCGACTCGAGGCGTACTCTACTGATCACAAAGTAGAATACCACTCGACATACTCATTTGCAAAGAGACACATACACACATTGGCAACTACATGCCACAGTGACACTACATGTCACAAGAATACACTTTCAAGTTCCAACCTTATGCCCTGTTTCAACCTTATGGCTACCCCCGGCCTTATTACGGTTCCAACCTTTACCTCCGAGTGCCACCCTGTACTTCCAAGTCCAACCTTTTGCCTCCGGGAACCGTCGTTCCCCCTCCAACAACCACCAATCAATACTGCCGAATGCTCAGTACACAAGGGTACCATGCAATATCAAGTCACAAAACCACCAAACTCATGAGCAAAGCTCAAATAGCAAACCACCAAACTCAATTCATGGCCACCACGAGGACCACATCTGTACCTTGGTGTCTAAGGTCCCATACCCTTAATCGTGCAATCAAGGTACATCCATTATACACGTTTTCAATCATAGGAATCAATCAAAGGATCACAACAAAGATATGAAACCATACTCAATCAAGGAAGGATTATAATCCGACACCAACGATGGTCAACACAAGTTGCCACTCCAATAGGACAAAACAAACCACACACACTAGCATTTCAACAACACACTAGCATGCTTATCAAACGGGTAAACAAAACACAGTTCCGTAGAACGTACAAGACTCATCATGGTTCAACGATCACAAAGTTGAACACTTAGCACGATTCAAGACACCAAATCCTACATGGATTCCCATCATACTGTTCTAGACATACGAAACATCAAGAAGACACTCAAATAGCCCAATAGAACAACATCGGGAGGTGAAAACATCAATTACTGAGTCAAAAGAATCACGGGGAACAAATCCCCGACCAACACCGAACATGTACCCCGCGTGTGGGGCCACGGGTGGACCTCCACCCATGGTTCCGCCCGCGGGTAGCAACACCCACGAGGCATGTACCTCGCGGGTGGGGCAGCGGGTAGGCCACTGCCCGCCGTTCCGCCCGCGGGTACAACCCTATACAAAAAATAATCCCTTCGGGGATTTTCAACACCAAGTCCAAAACACCCAAAATCTCACAAAATACAACAATTTGACTTGAATCCAAGAAATAGCCAAGCAATGGCATACAAGAATCCTAATAACAAGCTCTAGATATGCATTACCATAAGACAATGCATCAAAACTCACATTTCATAACAAAAATCACAAGTAGAAGTCAATAAATCATCATATAGGTAAGAAAATAGGTTTTGTAAAGCATGGGTTACCTCTTGTAGCCTAAACCTTCACTTTTCACACCCCAAAAGCTTCTCTTAAGGCTCACCTTCAACTCCAACTTCAAGAACACACCAAAAGACAACAAAGATTCCATCCTTTAGAAAAGACACCTAAAAAGATATTGAAAACACTAAGGGATCAAGGATCTTACCCTCGCTTATGCTCAAGGTTAAGAAAGTTTGAATCTTGGAGACAACCTTGGAGAATCTAGGATTGCTCAAAACTTGGCTTGAAGAAGAAGCTAACAATTTTCTAGAGAGAATGTGGAGCTTTTGTGTCTAGGGTGTTAGGGAAATGAAATGAAGGATGACTCTAGGTTAGCTTGGGGCACAAACATAAGGTGAAAAGACTTCTTTGCCCTTACTAAAGTGGGAAGTGTATGGAGATAAGGGAACAATTCATAAGGCATAGAGTACAACCCTTTGACTTGGATTGACTAGTCAATTTCTTGTCCTTCGACTATTGAATTTTCAGGATTTTAGGAATAAATTACCAATTAAGCTAGGATTAATTATCTAATTATTCCTTAAATAGATTTTGGATTTACAGGGTGTCACATCCTCTCCCCCTTAAAAGAAGCTTTGTCCCCGAAGCTTGGGTACGACGAATTCAAACAGAACGGCAAACGAAACAACAATGTGACAAGAGAGCCAAGAACATCTTTTGATCAAAATTCCAAGAGTTCAAAAGGTACAAAATGGTCAAGAAGTCATGGCTTGCAAGAAGTTACCAACGAAATTCCTTGGGCACATCAAACACTAAGATCAAACACAACAACCAAAACCTTCTAAACAACACTAGAGTTCTAAACAACTAGATTCTAGTAAAACAACCCACAAAACTAACTATCCAACGCAACTAGCAAACAAGAAAGATCACACAAGGCAACTACAAAACGATAACAATAAACGAGGGAAGGAAAACGAGATTACCACAACTCCGAACTAGAAAGACTCGCTCTCTGACTCTTCGGTGTCCTCGTCTGAATCTTCATCATCCTCTCTTCGGCTAGAATCGGCCTTAAGCTGGTCCAACCTCTGGTTAACCGCGACGAACTGCGTCTTCATAAAAGCAAGGCCTTCCTCTATCATTCTGTTTTGCTGGTGTAGAAGGGTGACCACACGCTCCTCGTGCGTCATGGCGTCGTGTTCCGTCTTGGTTCTGGCTTCCTTCCTTCTTAGATTTTCTTCATCTTCAGAGTTGCTCTCCTCGGTTTCTTCGGCTTCATCCCCACCTCCTTCCTCTTCTTGGTCTTCATCACCATCATTCTCGGCGTCACCTCCCAAACTTCGAACTGCGAGGTTCAACTTCCCAACGGGAATCTATAACTCCGCAACCAACACGTTCCTCTCATCGGGGGCTTTTCTGGCAACCTCCTCAAGCGTGATGTACTCCCCTTCCTCAATCTGAAACAGGTTGCAACTTCGCAGATTGGTAGCATCCAACACCATTTTACCCATTGGCTTCGGTACACACCCGTCAAGACTCACTCCTTTCTTGGCAAAGATCTAGCTCAAAACCATACCATACGGTAGACTTTTTCGGTTATGATCTCGGCAAAAGACCATATGTTGCAACATTAAAGCAGGCAGGTTGAACTTCACCATATTCTTCAAGCAAAAGGCAAATGTGCATTCTAACTTTCCCAACAGACGGCTCTTGTTGTTATTAGGCAGCAGGCAGGCAGATACAAGCATAACTAAGATCCTTTGTTCAGTAGTCAACCATTTCCTTTCCGGTCTCGTGGCCTGGGTAAAACCACTAGTCCGTCCCAAAAGATAACTCAAGTAGTCTCGGTAGCCCATGGTATCCGTCCCAGTCCAGGAGTTACCACTGTACTGTGAGACTCCCGTGGTGGTCAGACTCAAGAGCTGAGCCAGCCTATTTTTAGACAAAACAACCTTCACACCTCTCACCTTAGAGGTAACCTCTAACTTTCCACCATCCTTAGTCAAAACCATGTGACGGTAGAATTCCTTAACCAAACTCGGGTAAGTCTCAACCCTTATGGCGAGAAACCCATCCAACAGACCTTGATACCTCAACATCTCTAACAAGGAACTGGAAAAAGAATCAGGGTCAAAAGCTTTACCTTCCAACACGAGGTAGTGGGCATCCACCCATTCCACTCTTCTTGTCAAGTTAGTCCTTCTAGGCATGATTGTGAGATGACCCAAAGACTCGAGGTAGACCAAAAACTCTTCCCTTTCTTTCTTTTCTTCTCTTCCTCTTTTCTCTCTCTCTTGCTGCCTCTTGGTGACACCGCAGCAGACACGGCGGCGGCGGCGGTCAGCTCCGGTCGGCGGCGATGGCGTCGGCAGCAGGTGGCGTCGGTGGCTGCTCTCGGCTGTGACGGGTAGGGGGTGGGGGTTCGGGTATCTCACGGGTGGAAGAAGGAAGAAGGGAAAAGGGTTTGGGAATTTAGGGAAAATTGGGAAAGAGAAGGTTTTAATTTGGGGATTTTTGGGTAAAATGAGAAATTATAGGTTAAATAGAATTTAAGTGGGGTAAGGTTCAAGAAACATAACTAGTTTAAGTGGTTCAAAGGTTGGATTGGTAACTTGTATACTCGGGTTTGAAACTAGGTGGTTATGAATTAAAATTTTCTTAATCTTTTAAACTACTAAAGGAAGGAATTTTAGGATTTTTGTCTACTCAATTCAACTTAGATGACCCAAAAGAAAATGGTCAAGTTGAAAGAGCATATATGCAAGGCTACAGAATTACACAAGCGTAAGCCACTCAGAGTTAAACAATCAACTCCGGAAAGAAGTTCACTTAAAACGCCAACAAGGATCACATAATCAAGGAAATAAGGCAACAAGGAATGACACACTCTCAAGATAAAGATAGTCTTAAAAAGGGTTACCTGTCATCTCCTCCTCAGCCAACCCCTCCGTCTCAGCCTGAGATCATCCCATCACGAACACCCGACCCGAAGGTCTAGCTCCAGCTGCTCCTCGACTTTAACTCCCTCCCAATGATCCACCGGGTCCCGAACTAGGTGCCAACGCTCTTTGGTTAGCTTGCTGAGGGCATACGGCAGCCTTGTGTCCTCTCTCTCCGCACTTGAAGCACCGCAAAGAATTTCCTTGGCAATCCTTTCCCACATGCTCCTTTCCACAATTTCTGCATGCAAACCTCTTAGCTTGATCACCTGACCCTACTCGGTTTGATCCTTGAGGTGGGGAAGGTGCAGTCTTGGCTCGGAAGTCCTGCCTTGGCTTCTTGAAGGTGTGGGATCCACCACTTTCATTCCTCTTTCTAGCAAGCTCATACGATCCCTGCTACAACTGTTGTACCCGGTATAAGTCAGCAGCACTCAGGTAAGCCTCCTTTAAGGTCCTCGGCTTACTCACGGTCAACGCTTTACGAGCCTCGTAGTTGAGTCCCTCCACGAACTTTTCAACTTTCGCGAGCTCGGTGGGGACAAGCATCCTAGCGAAACGAGCGAGCTCCAAGAACCTCTTGTGGTACTCCACCACAGACGATGAACCCTGCTGGAGATGCAGAAACTCCTCATACATAGCAGCTCGAACATGTGCCGGGTAGAACCGCTCTCTCATCCGGTCCTTCAAAGCTGTCCAGTCGAAGTAGGGCTCCTCTAGGAATGCGGGTCCCTCATGCACCCACCACAAGTCAGCTTCATGACTGAAGTAGAAAGATGCTAACTCCACTCGGCGCTCTTCCGGGCACTCTACCACGGAGAAGATCTTGTTGAGGGTTCGGATCCACTCCTCGAGGACGACGGGGGTCTTCCTCACCGGCAAACATCGGTGGTCTATGGCCTGATACAAGGCGTCCAACATCCCGGTGTTCGGTTGGCTGTGGCGGCGGAGCAGGATGATTATTGTGTAGTAGAGCTTCACTGAGGATTTGCATGGTCTGCGTGAGGTGTTGCAAGTTCTGGGCCAACTGTTCGTTAGTTGGTGTCTCCGCGTACGAGCGCGTTGACGAGGCGGTGCCATGACAGAGCTTCTACAACAACAACACGGTTACGATAGGCACAAATAACATCGCACCCTTACCCGGCGCTAACTAATGGAACACAAAACTAAACAGAAACAACAAGCAAGCAAAACAAACTATAAACAACATACTGCTCACCACGCGTCCTAAAAGTCCTAAGTCCTAAGCACTTAGAGCCTTAAGGTCATCTTAGGGTCTCAAACCACACTTAACTACTTAAAAGTCCAGACTCTACCATCCTAGGCTCAAACCTAGGCTCTGATACCAACTGTAACACCCCCGATTTTTACAACTTTTTAAAACTTAAATTCATAAGGCAAGGTAACTAACAGGTATCATAAAAGATAAACTACAGCGGAAGTCTTGGAAAAGCGGAAAGTGCTTCCACATCCACCACAAGTGGATGCAAAGGCTAGTCTAACAAACGTACTATCCATATTCAAACAATCCATGGCATACAGGCTCAAAACACTATCTACACAGTCAAAGGGAGCTACATTACAACCAACAGCTAGCGCACTTGCCATAAGCTACTCAAGACCTGTAAAGCAACATAAAGAAAGGGGACGACGCCCGGTCAGCGAATATTGCTGGTAACCCATCAATACGCGTTAAGTAGCATATATAGATAGTATAAAACAAAACCATTTTCGAAACGGAATACAATATATATCAGTTCAAAAGCCATAGAGAGAAGTCGACTGCAAAGACTCTATTCCACTCTCAAAGAAACAAGGGAAATCAACATCCCAAAACAACATCAAGACAAGAACAACAACAATAATCAAATGCAACTCGAGGCGTACTCTACTAATCACAAAGCAGAATACCACTCGACATACTCATTAGCAAAGAGACACATACACACATTGGCAACTACATGCCACAGTGACACTACATGTCACAAGAATACACTTTCAAGTTCCAAGTTCCAACCTTATGCCCTGTTTCAACCTTATGGCTACCCTCGGCCTTATTACGGTTCCAACCTTTACCTCCGAATGCCACCATGTACTTCCAAGTCCAACCTTTTGCCTCCGGGAACCGTCGTTCCCCCTCCAACAACCGCCAATCAATACTGCCGAACGATCAGTACACAAGGGTACCGTGCAATATCAAGTCACAAAACCGCCAAATTCATGAGCAAAGCTCAAAAAGTAAACCACCAAACTCAATTCATGGGCCACCACGAGGACCACATCTGTACCTTGGTGACTAAGATCCCATACCCTTAATCGTGCAATCAAGGTACAACCATTATACACGTTTTCAATCATAGAAATCAATCAAAGGATCACAACAAAGATATGAAACCATACTAAATCAAGGAAAGATTACAATCCGACACCAACGATGGTCAACACAGGTTGCCACTCCAATAGGACAGAACAAACCATAAACACTGCTTTTCAACAACAAACTAGCATGCTTATCAAACGGGTAAACCAAACATAGTTCCGTAGAACATACAAGACTCATCATGGTTCAACGAGTCACAAAGTTGAACACTTAGCACGATTCAAGACACCAAATCCTACATGGATTCCCAACATACCGTTCTAGACATACGAAACATCAAGAAGACACTCAAATAGCCCAATAAAACAACCTCGGGAGTTGAAAACATCAATTACCGAGTCAAAAGAATCATGGGGAACAAATCCCCAACCAACACCGAACATGTACCCCGCGGGTGGGGCCATGGGTGGACCTCCACCCGTGGTTCCGCCCGCGGGTAGCAACACCCACGGGGCATGTACCCCGTGGCCTGCCGTTCTGCCCCGCGGGTACAACCCTATACCAAAAATAATCCCTTCGGGAATTTTCAACACCAAGTCCAAATTCAAGTCCAAAACACCCAAAATCTCACAAAATACAAAAATATGACTTGAATCCAAGAAATAGCCAAGCAATGGCATACAAGAATCCTAATAACAAGTTCTAGATATGCATTACCACAAGACAATGTATCAAAACTCACATTTCATAACAAAAATCACAAGTAGAAGTCAAGAAATCATCATATAGGTAAGAAAATAGGTTTTGTAAAGAATGAGTTACCTCTTGTAGCCTAAACCTTCACTTTTCACACCCAAAAGCTTCTCTTAAGGCTCACCTTCAACTCCAACTTCAAGAACACACCAAAAGACAACAAAGATTCCATCTTTTAGAAAAGACACCTAAAAAGATACTAAAAACACTAATGGACCATGGATCTTACCCTCCCTTATGCTCAAGGTTAAGAAAGTTTGAATCTTGGAGACCATCTTGGAGAATCTAGGATTGCTTAAAACTTGGCTTGAAGAAGAAGCTAACAATTTTCTAGAGAGAAGGTGGAGCTTTTGTGTCTAGGATGTTCGGGAAATGAAATGAAGGATGACTCTAGGTTAGCTTGGGGCACAAACATAAGGTGAAAAGACTTCTTTGCCCTTACTATAGTGGGAAGTGTAAGGAGACAAGGGAACAATTCATAAGGCATAGAGTACAACCCTTTGACTTGGATTGATTAGTCAATTTCTAGTCCTCCGACTATTGAATTTTCAGGATTTTAGGAATAAATTACCAATTAAGCTAGGGTTAATTATCTAATTTATTATTAAATAGATTTTGGATTTATGGGGTGTCCCAGGGCACCCCTGCCCCCACCTACCCCCACTGACTCTCAAGCAACTTTTGGTCCCGTGATCCCTCGTGGAACCCGAAACCATGTCTAGACACGTTCAAACACATAACGACAACTCCACTTATCTTATTAACGGAATTAAATCATGAATCACACCAAATGCGTTCTAACACAATTCCTAAGCATGCCAAGACCTAACAATAATCATACAATGGTCCGGGAGCATCTGGAACCACAAGAATATCAAGAAGTCTATATGCAAAGTCATAAACACAAGTCCTATGCTTGACTTAACACCCGATCATGCATAATTCCACCCAAATATACCAAGAGCACCATAATACGAATTTCACGATATAAACCCTAGGGCTCTAGACATAATCAAAATACAAGATCGTTCATATAATCAATCACAATATCAAGAACACCAAGATTATCACATAAACACAATATAAACCCCAGGCAAAGCTCTATCAACACTCAAACACAGAATCATATATCAAAGGACCCAATGAATAAGATGTAGCAAAGAAAATAGGTTTTGTCGAGACATGGGTTACCTCTTAGCCCTAACCAATATCCATGGCTACTAAGGTTCTTGATAATATTATTCTTCCAATTGATCTTCCGAGGCTAGCTGGTGGGGATTTCCTCGGCTGGGGTTCCTGCGAGTGATTTTGTGTGAGGGAAGGGAGAGGAAGGGTTCTATCTACTTCCTTATCTCATATTTATATGTCTAAGGGAAACCTATTCAAGGTCTGAGTAATAAGGCTCGCTTTCCCTATTCCCTATGGGTTTAAAGTTCCTTGTTTAGGTAAGGGTTCACGATTCATCGTGGACCATCTAGTCAATTACGGGAATTATAATTGGATTAAATCCCTTTTAATTATTTTAATTAGCGGGATTAATTTAATAATTAATTCAGATTTGAAGGTTGTAACACGGGGTGTTACACAAGTGGCGGGGCTCCTCAAGCCCCGCCGCAAGCTCCGCCAGGCCAATACAGTGCAGTGGCCGGGCCCTTTGTGGCTCAGCTACGTGTCGTTTGGACCGAGACTCGCGGGCCCTTGAGGCTCGGACTGTAACACCCCCGATTTTCAACAATTTTTAAAACTTAAAAGCAAAGGTAAACATTTAATCATCAAGATAAACACAACGGAAGCTTAATTAAAATCGGAGTGATGTTATGCCACACCTATATCAAACATAGGTGCACAGGCGGAAACTAGCAAAGTCATCAAACGGTAAACATCTAGGCACACAGGCCACTAGTCTAGGCACACAGGCCGCTAATCTAGGCACACAGGCCAACAAAAGGTAACGTCTAAACATGATAGCTACTCTATCTAGCGTTCCACATCTAGCGCGCTTGGCATCTACTCAAAACCTGTAAATCATGGGGACAACACCCGGCCAACGAATAATGCTGGTAACCATCAATACGGGTTAAATAACATAGTATAGATAGATATAAACAAAATCATTTGGAACGGGAATACAATATATATCATTTCAAACCAAGGAAGGAAGTCAACATCAAACACTCAACCATCACTCTCAATGAAGACGGGGATCATCAACCACACAACAACACAAAACAACAACATAATAGACAACACAACTCGGGATGCATCCTACCGTTCATAAGGTAGAACACATCAAGACATGCTCATAAGCAAGGAATTCACAATCACACAGTGACAACTACATGTCACAAGTTTCATAGTTCCAACCTTATGCCCTATTCCAACCTTATGGCTACCCCCGGCTTTATCACTGTTCCAACCGTTACCTCCTAGTGCCACCCTGTACTTTTGAGTCCAACCTTTTGCCTCCGGGGACCGTCGCCCCCCGCCTGCACCGCCAGTATTTCCACCGAACTCTCAGTACACGAGGGTACCCTTAATTTCATAATCACAAAACTGCCAAACTCGTGAGCAAAGCTCAAGTAACAAACCACCAATCTCAATCATAGTCACACAAGGTCATCATCATTACCAAGAGGGTTAAGGCTCAACGATAGCCTCAATCAAGTATCAACAAAGGATACAACGATTTGCATATGATCACATCATAGGAATCAATCAAGATATCACAATACACACATGAGATCATACTCAACAACAAAGGATTACAATCCAACACCAAATGATTGTCAACACAAGTTGCCAATCCCAATACGAAGGAACAAACGACACATACTAGCATATCAACATC